AGGTAGCTAGGACTACAGGTGTGTGCCACAATGCCTGGCTAATTTTTCTTTGTATTTTTTCTAGAGATGGGGATTGCTATATTGCCCAGACTGTTCTCAAACACTTGGGATCAGTTATCCTGCCTCAGGCTCCCAAAGTGCTGGGATTACAGGCATGAGCCACCACACCCGAACACTTGAGGTGGTTTTAAGCCCCCCAGCAAGGTGCACCAGCAGGACCAGGAGGTGGCCTGGGCCCCCCACCATCACTCCCATCCATGCAGACCTAGGCAAGTCCCTCTCTCTCAATCTTGGCCACACCACATACAATGCAAGTAGGAAGATGGGCAGGCCTGGGGGGTGGGACAGGCAGAGGCCACCTCTGTCAGGCTGGGGTGGCATGGGCAGGAACCTGTTCTTCCCATACCTGGGACATGACCTCCAAGGACCAGCTGTCGGTCATGGTGATGGGCTGGCTGGGGTTGGCAGGGAGCTTGCTCTCCTTCTCGGAGGGCCGGAGCAATGTGGGGCCAAAGACTGTGGCGAGGTTGTGCAGGGACATCTTATTGACTGCCTCCTTCTCTGCCACCCTGTAGAGGACCAAAGCAGAGGGTGCTGTTTCACCACCACCACTAGCAGAGAGGCGGAGGGGCTGTGCCACGCTGGAGTCCTCAAGAAGGGAATGACCTCGACCCTGGCTGTGCTGCAAGCTGACTCCAGCCCTGGTACTGCTGGGTCTCGGCAGCCCAGGACAAAGGGCCAGCTCCGGGCTGGTGGGGAGGTCTCCTCCTTGATGTCACTGGGAGGGAAGAGGGGGGTCCAAGTACACTGCTGGCCATGGCCAAAGCTCTGAGCTCTAAGGCCACAGTCCAAAGCGAGGAGGGTGGCAAAGATGAGAGGCTGGGGCAGGGGTGGCAGTGGCACTAGTCCCCAAAGGCAGTGAGTGACTGCAGTCAGGGGAAAAGGTCCTCAGTCTGGAGGTCTGGTGGGAGCAGAGGGGCAACCCATGGCCTGGGGACCTGCAGCCACAGGAGAGCTGGGCTACCTTTTCAGGTGGTCCAGAAGGAAAAGGAAGGTGAGCAGGTTGGCCTCCGGCAGGGACAGCAGCAGGTTGAGCATGCAGCTCTCCTTTGCAACCGGGTCTGAAAGAGCTGGAGAAGGCGGTGGGTTACTCCGCAGGGTCACAATGAGACAGAGACCTCTCCTGAGGTGGTTACGTGGAGTGCCTGGGTCTTGTGTCCCTGCACAGCCCAGGCTCTTCATCATCCTCAGTCCCACAGCTCTGGCCCTCAGTGAGGAACCTGCGAGGGGCGCTGGTGTGCGGTATGAGCCACCTGAACACCTCTTCTCTACCTCACAGGGGTCAGCAGCACCCAGCAAATGGCAGCAGGAGGAGCCGTGAAAGCCGCTCATGGGCAGAGCTGCCCTTGGGCATCTCCCGCCACCACCCCCTCCCCAGGGGAGCCCAACGCAGGGGAGGCTCAGCGTGGAATGAAACGGGAGTGAGGGACACAAGGAGGTGGGAAGTGGGAGGGCCCCAGCCCCACCAAGTACGCAGAGACCCCCTCATTGTCCTGGACACCACAGGGCCACCTGCAGCCTGGGTGTGCATGGGCCCCGCGGGCAGAGCTGCCCTAAGGGTGACGTAGAGCTTACAGGTGCTGCACGTGCCAGCGCCCACTCTAGCCATCAGCCTCCAGGTTGACTAAGGGTCAGGCCAGGTTTGAACCCATGCTTGACTGGGCCAGGACCCGTGGCCAGAGCACCTGGGCGCTCCTTCAGTCCTGGTCTGCAGGAAGGAGGACAGCAGACTTTAGGACCCCACAGCACGGCAGTGCTGACCATTTCACCCTCTTGGTCTCCTTGAGGAATAGGGACGGGGAGCCCTCTGGGGATGGGCGAGGTCTTCCAGGACAGGCTTGATTTTGGTCCTGTTTTCTGAGGTTGGGTTAAAACACCGACCATGGCAGAGAGGGCACAGCTCAGGTTCCCACACATCACTTTTCACAGCCTCCAAGGGCAGCAGTGCACGTGGAGGAGACGTTTCCCATGAGGCCAAGGCCTCCAGTGCTCACCGATGCCTTCGGCGAAGTTGGGGTAGAACTCGTCGGTGAAGAGGGGCTCGGGCAGCTCACGGAAGTACAGCTTCAGCGTGCCTGCGATGGCGTTCACGTCCATCTCGCTCATCATCACCGACACGTCCTTGTTATCTGGAAAGAGCACGGAAATGCAGCGGCCTCCTTCAGGATCCCGAGTGAGTCTCCCACCATCCCTGCCTTGGCTAAAGCACCGTCCCTGCCACGCTGACCACTGTGCAGGTTCCTCCCCGGCTTTAAGCAGCTCATCTGACCCCTCCCAAGAGCTGTGCATAGTTCTGTGTCTGCAGAGTTGATGGGGCTGCATGGGCACTCCCATTCCTCTCCCCTGCTTGGCCCGAGGTGACGGCCAGGAGGAGGCCAGCACGGCAGGACACAGTGCCTGCGTGGGAAATCGGGTGACTCTGCCCTGTACCTAGCAACCACCCCTGCACCAGTGTCTTCTGATGGCAGGAAGGCTGTGGGAGAATCTGATTGGTTTCAGTGTTTGAACCGGTGTCTTCCTTTGGGCCCAATTGGTCACTGGTGCTTACGTCCTCACCACAGGCCAGGTCTATTCTGGGACCCCAGAGGGAGCTGAAACTACCACAGGCCCTCCCAGGGGTGCTGAGCATTGTAGGGGTCCTGGTCAGGGTCAGTGGTGTGTGCCCCAAAGAAGGATCTGCAGGCACAAAATCCTGTTGCTTTGAAGATGCTGGGAAGGACCCTCTGGGGTCTCGATGTCCTCCCCTGGCATTTGTGGCAGTTCCAGGTCCTTCATAGCCTGTGAGGGTTGGTGAGATAGAGGCGGAGATGCTGCAGCCCTGGCCTGAGTTGGGTCCCATCGGTGCCCTCTGTCTGCCGCATCCTCACACAGGGCAGTGGACAGACTGCACTGAGTCCTGGGTGTCCACCCCCAAGGCAGGAAGGCCAAGGCCCCGCAGAAGCCCTGGTTCACCCCAGCAAGTGGCATGTGTAGCAAAGATGGTTTGAATACTGGCTTCTGTAGAAGCTTTTTCTACAACTCTTGTTTTCTCTTTTTTAAAAATAATAAAACAGTAAATGAAGAAAAGACACAGCGAAGGATGTGACATGCCCAGGCCATGGAGTGCTCTGAGATCTCATCGCCAACACCACTGCCCACACCTCCATCCCGTCCTGCGCAGGCCGACACTCACTGACGTCGAAGGCTGCTTTCAGTGCCTGGATGTCCGTGGCCACTCCGGACACGCGGTAGATGCCCACCTCCTCCATGCCTCGGCGCTCGATCTCCTCCACGCACTGGCGTACGATGTAGGGCACCTTGGACCTCTCTCTCCTATGGAAGGAGGAAATGTTCTCAATGTCCTGACAGCCCTGCTTGGGCCACAACACAGGAAACCTGTCCCCTATCTATACACATGGAGGTGGAGTGAGGACGGTGACGAAGATGCCCAGGTCTGGGACTGCACACACAGCCTTCTGCATGCCTGCCCTCCCTCTGCAAGCCCTGTTCTCATTGCATGTACTTTCTCAGGACCTTTCTAAGAGGCTGAAGCAGCCAGACCCTCTGCAAATCACACATGATCTTTGTGGGAAGGTCAGGAGTCCTAAGTAAAGTCAGCACAGAAAGGGCATCTGATAGATTCCAGGCCTGGGGTTAGCAGCCTGTGCCCCCAGCTGGGGGATCAGACCCGGTGTTGGTCCTGCCACCCGCGCGCTGTGTGAAAGGAGAATCCCTGACCCCTGCCCTGGGCTTGGACCTTAACACATCTGACGAATGAAGGGTTGCCTCAGCACCAGCAGCTCCTGTGCTGCTAAGTGCTTTTCTCCTCTGAATCTTAGCAATGAACAATTCCAATACCGCCACACAGGACACTAGAGTAAGAATACTTCAAAGTGAGTGCCGTGCTGAGGCCTTTAGTTCTGTTTGCAACTGGATTTGGGAGCACATCAAAGCTGCTTCTCAAGCCACCCTCATTAGCAGTGGTTATCTGGGGGAGCTGCTGCTGGAGTCCTCACTGCTCATGCCCAGAGCCCTCCCAGAGTGCTACGCAAGTGGCTGCCGTGCAGTTGGGGGTGGGGCGTGCTGTTTAGACACAGAAAGGAGTCCAGGGTATGACTGATGGAGGCCCCGGCCCACATGACCGGCAAGTTCAGGGGCCCAGCTGGATTCCATCCTGGGGAAGCAAATGAATTCTCAGAGGAAGTGGTCTGTGTCTGCAAGAACTGCTCTCAAACCAAACAAGTTTCTCTTGGCAACTGACTCGTGACAAAGGGGCAGGGGTTATGGCCATTCAACAGGAACCTGGGACCATGACAAATTCCAAGCGAGGGCAGAAAACCCGGCACTCGGGCAGTTCCTGGAGCCAGCCCTACTGCTTCCAAGCAAGGCGGCAAGGACACTCCTGAGCTGGTGTTGAGTAAACACAGGAGGTGGCTGAACACACCAAGTGTTCCCTGGGGCCTGACCTCACCACGCAGCGGCCACGCACAGAGAGGAGAGACCCACACATGCTCCTCTCTGCAGAAACAGCTGAAGGGACAGGCACCCTCAGTGCATGAGCCCAAGCCCCTCCCCACTCACTTGGTGACCACAGCAATCTTGACTCC